ATTGACGCCTCCTTCCTTTCGTCTCCTTTCTTTCACTGTTGTCACCTTTCCCTTTCTTTTCTTTCCTCCCCCCTCCTTCAAGCCACTGGTACATATCTATTTGCATCGACAAACGACGGACTTTGAGCTGATAAACTGTCGACCAGCACAATGTCTCGGTCTGCTACTTCTTCTTTTTCCTTCGCTGCTGCTGCTGCTGTTTTTGCCCCTGTGCATATATTGTCATTGTCTTCTAAGCCATTATCGATCCACGTAGATATACTGTACGACTGTCGAGTAATACACACTGCACTCGTTCTCTTTCTCACCATTTCTCCTGTGCAGTGCTGTTGTTCTTTGTGTCTCCTCTAGAGATCACTCGCCTTCGGTTCTTTCCTTTCTTTTTTTCTCGTGTACTTGTCTTAATCGGCTACTGCTTTTGGTAAAAGTGAAATGCACTCAGGCACTGAAGGCGGCGGCGGCGGCGACGGATATTGCGGACGAANTGTACACACACACACACTTTTGTGGCAGTTTATGTAAGTTCTTTCACAACTCTATTAATAGGTCGTTCGTTCAGGTGCACCTACTGAAAGCGTAAAGATCTAATGGACGGGGGAACCGAGTGATGAAAGTAATGTGCTGAGCATTGTTGCAAGTTTCTCCTTTATTTATTTGTGTGATTGAGCTCCTTAATCTTCTGGACAATGTCATCGGTGAGCGTTCGGAAGGCCTTGCAGTTGCGGAGGTGCAGCTCTAGCTCGACCCGGTCATCTCGGGCCATGGTGCCCGACTGGAAGAGCAGCCGAATGAGTCGGTCGATGCTGTCCACCACCTCTCGTTTCTCTTCAATCTCCCGCAGCATCGTCCGTCGCATGATCAGGCCAATCTCCGGACTGGCTCGGGTGGACTTCTTCAGCCGACCTTGAAGTGACTGCAGAAACTTGCCCATCTCACTCATCTTCTCGGGCAGATTTGCCAGACTGACTGGCGATTCATCACTGCTGGCTTTTGGGGGGGGTGAAATGAAAAAGGTGCAAAGTGTGAGAAAACTTCCTAAAGCGGACTGTGGTGGTGGTGGTGCATTGGCGGTGCACTGACGTGTCACTTACCACTTGCCAGGTAGAAGAGCACTGACAGTAGTGCCAAGGCTAAGGAGCTGCTTAGTTTCATCTTCTCGTTGCTTTTTGTTCATCGGGATTCAGGTGAGTGATGCTGTTGTTGTTGTTGATGTACACCAGTCTGCCTGTGGCACTGGCACTGGCACTGACAGTGCAGCATCAGGATCAGCAGTGGTGGCACAAAATGACTCAGACACAGTGAATCCGTTTGTTGTCTACTGCACTGTTGTCTACTGTGACGTCAGACATCCACTTTCTCTCGCTGCAGTGGAGACGACACTCGGCAGTGCAGCTCGGCCTCACGCCACTTTTTTTCCACCTTCTATCTACGGCTACACTGCTCAGAGATTACTGCTTGAGTAGTATTGGCGGAGGATCTTGGCACCGACTTTTAATCATACGACCAATTGCATTCTTTTGATTGAGCTATTGTCTGTGTGTGTGTGCGCGCGTTGTCGCTCTCATTAATTAAAGATGCACGCAGTAAAGACACTGTTAGTTTTGGAACTGAGTGGTAAAGTGGAAGGAAGTTCATTGAGTTGAAAATAGTAAGGTAATGTCAGTAGCATTTGTTAGTTGGTGGTCACGCTCACTCCTGTCGAAGTTTGTCCATGTCATTGTGCATCTCCTTGACACCTCGATTTCGATTGATGTAATTCACCTGGTTGCTCTCCTGCACGCGAACCTGACTCATGTGGCTCTGATTGAGCTGCTTCTGGACCTCCACTCTGTATAGGTCGGGAAATTCGGCCTTGTAAAAGTCTGGAACGCGGACCGTTTTCCCCTGAATCTTCACTTCCTGCATCACCACGGAGTTGTTCTTGTGGTAGAAGGACTCGTACTTTATCAGATAATTGAAAAAGCCAATGTTTGGTCTTGCGCACGGACGAAGTGACTTGAGGTAGCAGAATGCATTCTTCAGCGTGTACTCTTGATACTTGATCAGGTAGGCTGCGGAAGAAGATGGAGAAAAGGGAGGTTAGATTTGTCAGTTGTTTGTTTGTTTTTTTTGAGTAAACCTCACCGATGACCAGAGTGGAGGACCGACTGGCGCCAGCGAGGCAGTGCACCATCGTTCGTCCTCCCTTCTTGGAGACGTTGTGAATGACGGTGGCCACGTCATCCAGGTAGATGAAGATGTTCTCCGAGGGGTCATCATCGACGGGCACTCTAAGGGAGGCCACCTTGGGCAGCTTCGCCAGCGGCATCTCATGCGTCGCATTGATGATGCAGCGAATCTTCAGCTCCTTTATGTTCTCCAGGAGGACGCCGCCAATGCCCGTCAGGTAGAGCGAGTCGGTGATGCGGTCCACATTAGAGAAGGGCTTATTGAGGATGATGCGAATGTCATTGGAGACGTTCGCGTGGCGCATCTTCTCCAGCTCGCGCCGAGTGAGAATCGCCGAGGTTCGCTTGTTGTTGATGCGAATGCCGCTGCTGGTGAACTCCAGGGTCTGCGCCTGCACCAGCGGCGACTCGGGACCAAGGAAGTCCACTGAAGAGTCGTTGTTTTTGCTTGAGCCGTTTCCCATTTGGGAGTGTGCTGCTGTTGGGAACACACAGTTGAGTGAAGTGAATACGTATTGGTTTATTTTGCAAGTGCTATTAATTGTTCTTCCAACTCATTGTTAACATTAAAATGCTCGCTTTGAAATTAATGTAGCAATTAAGAAATTCGAGAATGCTACTTGGGCGTTTCCTTTGTCGACTCATTAGCTCCAGGCGATNATGGTTTATTTTGCAAGTGCTATTAATTGTTCTACCAACTCATTGTTAACATTAAAATGCTCGCTTTGAAGTTAATGTAGCAATTAAGAAATTTGAGAATGCTACTTGGGCGTTTCCTTTGTCGACTCATTAGCTCCAGGCGATGAACTTTTGTCCTCTTTTGCAGCCTCCTCCCCCTTGCCACCTTCAGACACCTTAGCTTGAACAGCAGTCTGCACTTCAGTTGATGCTGGCTCCAGTGGCTGCAGCTTCTCCTCGAGAGGCTCCAGTGAGTCATTGCTGGGCGGACTGGAGGANTTCCAGGCAATGAATTTTTGTCCTCTTTTGCAGCCTCCTCCCCCTTGCCACCTTGAGACACCTTAGCTTGAACAGCAGTCAGCACTTCAGTTGGTGCTGGCTCCAGTGGCTGCAGCTTCTCCTCGAGAGGCTCCAGTGAGTCATTGCTGGGCGGACTGGAGGACGGCATTGAAGTGCGATGAGCGGTGCTTTCATTCGACTTGCTGACCTCGTCTCCATCCGCATCATCAGCTCGAGTGAGGGCTGAAAAGTCCACCGTCTGAGGTTTAGTCTTTGAGGAGGAGGCTCCTGGAACGCCGAGTCCCTTTTCAATGTAGTTGAGCTGCGTTGAGGAGGTTCGGTTCAGGTTTGCGCCACCGCCGAAATTAGTTTGCGACATGTTGCAAAAGAGGGAAGTTTAGTGACTAATCACTAGAGCTTGCTCGATTTGTATCGGAATATAATTCGAAACTGAAGTTGCGTTAAAAAAATATGATGGTGGCGGCAGCTGTGGTTCGCAATGACAAGCTTTTGCACTGAAAAACTAAATACACGTTTGGTTTAATGAGAAATACTTGTGGTGGTAGTCGTAAAAGTGTAACTTGGCTTTTTGAAGTGTTTTGAGAAAAAACTTTTAAACTTTGAGCTTTTTTTGGTCCTGTGAACTGGCCATGACCAGAACTGTGGGGTTGTCGCTGTCGGAAACTGCAGCAGCTGAAAGAGCAACTTTCCGTTTTGGTGTCCACTTTTGAACAAGCTGCTTCAAGTTGGCGCCCCTTTTCATTCTCTCGCCCCTTGACGCAATTTTTTTCTTCTTCATTTTCCCGCCCTCCCATTTGGCGCCAAAGAACTGACTGAAACCTGACCAGCCCTGTTGCCCTTTCCAGGCTGCTGGCACCTTCTGTCGCACTACCTTCCCTCTTCTGCCCCAGCCCACCTTTCTTCTCTTCATCCTCCGCTCGTCATCACCATGATGATCTTTACTCCTTGCGTCACCTTCCACCAGGCCACACTGGACGCCTTGGATGGTCAGGTGGCGGCCCTTCTCAACGTGTCTTCTCCTCCTTGAGATGAGATAGAAGGTGAGCAAACAGAGGCCGATGACGATGAGCACCGCCTCACTGATGAAGAGACGGGGATTGCTGTTGAAGGTGGTCACTATGCTCTCCCAGAGGTTCATCTGCGGTGGTAGTTGGAAAGTCGGCATTATCATTTTTTAAACAACACTGATCAGCACTTACTGTTTTGACGTAATAGGGCTTGTACTGCTCCCAGATTACCTTGCCCGAGTTGCTTATCTCAGTAAAAGGGGGTATATCCACCTTCTCTGAGCGATTAGTTTTGTTTTCAATATCGTCGTCGTTGTCTTCTGTAGAGGAGCCAAGCCGACGTTTTTCTTCTCCTTTGACAAACCCAAAAAGGGCGACAATGCCAAGTAGGCCGACGTATAACGTCCATTTCATGAGAAAGTAGCCGATAGATTTACAGCAGCCACAAGTGCTTTTCTTGGCGTCAGACTGTGCTTTGCCAGCCAGAGCTCTTTTCACTTGTAAAGTGTAGAATGGGCCTTTCTCGACCAGAATGTCTTTTACATTTTTCTGCCCTGAAATTTGTGCAGGGTCAAAAATCAAAGGACATAGGAAGTATGCGGCGTTTTTCAGCTTGTA